TAAATATAATCATATTAAATAGAACTTTTTAGAAATAGAATTAGGAATTAAAAACGTAGTTTAGAAAAATCGCTTTTTTGAATACATGCTGAATAATAATACATGCTTTGCCGAGAAAATAGTAATGATAGTAAAATAATGATTGCAATACTGTTATACGAAATATCGATACACACACACATCGATACATTGCTTATTTCAAATTTAATTTCAAATTTAATTCGAAATAAAGTATATAAATAAATATGTTTAGAATAAAACAAATGGAATAAGCAAATATTTCTAAGTATTACTTTATAATGTGATATTTCTATATAACATTAGAGTTCCGACAAATTATAAACATTTAAAAGGATTTCATTGTTATCTCCAATAGTTTATAAAAAAACAACTAGTTCGTATACTGGAAACATTGTTAGACATCTTAAACATAAAATGGTTTAAATAACCAATATAATTATTTATTTACATGTTTATCTATATTAAAGAAAAGATAACATGCAAATGTGCAAAAAATTGTTCAAATATTAGTTTAAAAAGAAATACACAACATACAATATAATGTATGATGTGGAAACAGTTAATTTAATGAAAAATTAAAAATATTCCAAAATCACGTTTTCTTTCTATGAAAAAAATCATGATTTTTTTTACATACGATATTTTTTAAACAAAATTATAAGATAAAATTATCAAAAAATTGAATATGGAATGTTTTATATTTAATATTGACATATAAAATATGAACTATCACACACAGTATTTCATACTTTCAACTTCTCCATAGTATTATCCAGAAAAAAATTTTATATATATATGGACATATTTTACATATAATTATATATAATTGTATATATAATATATAATATATCCATTTTTATATAATTATTTATAACTTTGTATAATATAATTATATACACATATAATTATACGTATATGATTTTTCCTGGGTACTTAATAAATAACTGTTGTATTTACAATTATTTTTTTTAAGAAACATGGTCATCTCGCGCCAAGTGTATGTGTATAATGCGATATTACACTTTTGCGAGTATAAGATTAGGATCTCAATAATGGATGAATCGATCAAGTTCTGATTCGACAATTCAAATGTCAAATTTTGCGCGCTTTACCAAGCACTTGTAATATATTTATAATAACTGGTTATATTTGTGGAAAATGGTTTCATTGAATAATGGCTCAAAGTGCATGGTAGTCGAAATATGAAAGTTGCTGAAATATTAAGTTGAAATACATTATTTTACGTTCTCTAGACACTACCGCATTATTTATTCTCATTATAGTATTGTTTTTTGATTGTTATAATTTTTAATTTTCGAGAATTTTAAGTTATTTTTTTATATATATTTGTAATATATTAAAATATTTTAATATCATTCACTGGATAAAAGGTCTTGTTGAATTAATTGGAATTGTAATAAATTTAATATTTTTAATTGAATCTACTGGAATCTAATTAGACATATTATAGTTAAATTTCTAGCAAATATTTCAAATCTAGATAAACAGAAATTACGATATAACTAAAATACTAATGGATATAAATTTGTTTGGTTTGTTCTTCTTATTGATGCAACCAGAACATTTTTCTCAGCAAATATACTGCAAACACATAGTAGAACGCGCAAAATATGATATTCAAAATGTCAAGTCGGCTAATAGCTCAAAGCAGTAAAAATTATAGTGCAAAAGAAAGAAAAAAATAATATAAAAATATAAAAAAAGCACCTTTTGAACGACAATAATATGTCTTATTGTTAATGTAAAAATATTACATTTTGTACTTTGTATCGCGATATCTTCGCTTGTAAGATAAAAAATAAAAACTTTTTTTTATATATTTTAAACCAAAGCTATTGATTGAGCCTACTCAAAGCTTGATTAGTTCAACCGTTATTCGATAATTTCGGACACCTACTTGCAACTAGGTATTGTATCTCGACCTTTTTCGCCTCTCGTACTTTCATCTCGCGTGAAGAAATATGCGCGATTGGTTATGAGTATAATAAAAATACGATGTCCCGACACTTATGGAAGTGAAAATTACAAGTGCGAATGCGAATGATATTATAATTAAATTAACACATTTATGATATGATTATACCATATATGTGACGTTAAGAAGAAGAACGATTTTAAATATCGGTTGTGTTCCAATTTAGCTGTGTTTCATAATGAATGTTACAAAATGAATGTTATTTCAGAAACATTACTCAAAACAACAATATATATATTGGTTTAAAGATAAAGACATACGTATGACGAAGATACATAGAGATGTATCGTAAGAAAATTTGTAACGTAGTATTATGCATATAATTGAAATAACAATGTTTAGTATATATATATATATAAAAAGATTTCATATTTTATTATAAATGTATATTAAGAATTTTATTATCTATATAAATAATCTGTAGAACAACATACGTACATATTTAAAAAATATTATTCAATATATCATCGAACATCTCTTTGTATTCAATATCGTATACAATGCAAGTTTATAATTTGACTTTGAATTTAACATCCAAATTATACTTATCGAGCAATTTCACATGAAGACTATTTGTATTTTTATCACCCTGGAAACTCCCAAATTAAATAAGATTTCATTTTCACTTTAGATTTTAAAATACACAATCGACTTCTTAGCTGGTTCATGTATAAATATACATGTTGTTGGTAGTGTCTCGTACTACATGTACACTTGACGCAAGACTCGACCGTGTCTTTTGAATATTATTCTCAATAACAGAATTAATCAATTGTAAAAGGAAAGAAATATCAATGTACTTAAATAGAATGCAGTCATGCATTAAAATATAGCAAACAGTATAGTCATAAATTAATTTTTTGTTACTATGAATATAAAAATACTAAAATAAGGTCATCTAAAAATATTTTACACAATACGTTATATTTTATGTCACAATATGTAAAAATAAATTGTAAAATATCTTATATGAAGTATCCATAAATCCTCAACATTTTTATACATGAGCAATAATATAATAAATAGTTAGACTTAATTTGCATAAAAAAGTCATTCTTTAATTCTATTTATAAAAAATAATTATCAAATCTCCTTAATTTTTCTGCTTGCAAAATAATCGAATTTAGTATATAATACTCTTCTCCAAATTAACATTTACTCATTGCATAATTTCGCTTTTAAATTTTGCAAACGATTACATTAATCATTTCATACAAATTATTATGTAGAAAATAGATCAAATAATTGAAATTGTTTTTGTTGAAAATGAAAGAAATAAGGAAATAGTCAATAATAAAATATGTGTAATAAGATATATTAGTGATTTGGTTTTTTCTAAAATGCAACAGTGTACTAAAAAAAAGTATTAAGTTAATTCTCTTAATAATTTTTTAAATCGAATACTTTTTACACAATTTTATTTTTATGGATATTTTGTAAATGTTAAAGTAAAATAGCAAGAGTAATGATATAAGATAAAAAAATAATTAATAATGTATAAAATAGTTTACTCCGATATTTTGAAAGAAAATGTGGATTATCTCGTAATAGCTTTATTATTTATAACCTTAATAATTTTAAGATCAATTTTAATAAACTATATATTAGTTGATAGAATTATATATAGATAGAGTTGCTAATGACATAGCAATTATCATCATAATTATTATAATATGTAATTATAGTTACAAATATCAAAAGTTTTTTTCTCAGTGTACATGCAGCGAGTAATGATTAGTTAAAGTATCTATATTTATGTTATAAAAATAAAGGCAAACACTTCAAATAACTTATATATAGCGTTAAAGCTCTTTTTATATTTTTAAAAGATTTACATTAATTAAAATATATGTATATTTATATTTTATAGTTGTATATATCCAAAGTACAAAAAAAGAATTTAAGGCTAGACTGCATATGTATATGTTGGATTAAGCTAATTAATTTCACATTTCTTTCGAATTAAATGCAACATGTTGAATTAAAATAAATTAAATGTGATTTCATATATTTTTTACAACATTTATCCTTATGACATGCAATTTAATTTTTTTTATATAAAATCCCAAATTGCGTATAAAATAAAATATATAAAATAAAATAAATATCGAAATAGCAGTATTGTTATTTCAGTTCAGTATTGCAATCACTGTAATATAATTGCTATAATAGAAACAGTCTTCGATTTTGCGAGAGAAATACAAAAAGTCACAAAAATAAAATTGTAATTAATAGTTATTTATACAATTTTCCTGGTGAATTTGGTGACTTTTGCGAAGACATCATCGTTGTTACCCACTACAAATGATTCACGTCGTCCCTTTCGGCCGTTTGCAAAAGCGACTGGTGTCGCACTCAGTTCCTCTTAATAGGAACGGAGATCGTAACGTGGAAAAGCGAATAGTACTCCGCCACCCCGTGGCTGTTTGACTTAATTTTACGAGGGGTCGCTCGAAACGACAAGGGCAGCATCGGAAGGGTGGAATGCGCGGTAGCGACAGCGGTGGCGGTTTAGCAGATAAAAATTATTCGTTTAAAGTCAAGAGGTACGCTATAGAGTATAGTTAAGTTTCCCAGAGGAGTAAATTCTTCTCGCGCGTTTCTACGCAATAATAACTATAATTAAGTAAATAGTCGCGTCAGGCACTAAAATTTCGAGAAACTAAAGTGCAGACTTCTATACTGTACATAATTTTAAACTTCTCCTCTGAAGAGCTTTGACTTTGTTTAATCGCAGTAAGAGATGCAACGCTGCAAAATTTAATGAATATGATGTAGCAGATTTAAACTATTAAACTATGTCGCGATATCTTTTTTGTTATATAGTTTACAATTTGATTGATTTTAAGTGAAAGACTGTCGCGAAAAACATGTTTACCTAAAAATATCGTTATGATATCTTCCATTATAGTATCATTATAATATCATCAAGATACATGATATACAATATTATCCAAGGAAAGTGTTCAATTATAAAAATATTGATCGTAAATAATTGCATCGGATGTCGCAAGCCCTAACATTTCTTTTTACATACACCGAAAACACGAATGTAAGGAACATATACCAGATTTACGTCTCGCAAATTGAAAGAAAAAAGAAGTTAATCACTAAAATGAGAAACCGAGAATGCTGCCTTTTACTAGAGATCTTATTTTCTCGACGAAGAAGTATATATGTATATATGATGTGTACATACGTGTGTTCTATGCAAACAAAAAACACCTGATATTTATGGTCCAACTGATCGGCTACTCCATTCGCAGATCGGATCTCACTAAATCACCAGTCGGTATACGCCTAGGAAGGAACTAGCCGCATCTCCCCACAGTCCATGGATGGCTATAAGGTTTCGATGTTGCAATGATGCGAATGACGAAGGATGGAAGAGAAATCGATGAAAAGAAGTTAAAGTTCTATTCGGCCTACCCTTGGTATACCTTCTGAACAATGCGTCATATCTGAAAATATATCTACGAAATAAAGATCCATATATATATACATTGCGTAATATAGTATAATTGACACTTTTCAAAATGCACAATATAAAACTTGCACTATTTAGGAGAATAGAAATATTTTCATATAAATACAAGTTACAGAATAATTAATGTTCGTACTTTCGTCAGAATTATTATGTAATTATATTCTTTTTTTATTTAAAAAAGAACAAAATTTCAAGTAGTGAATACAGTAGTATTTCACGTAGTATCTTAAGTAACATTTTATTTGTATAAAAATGTATGTGACATACTGTTCATCTTTAAGTGTTTAAAAATTTAAAATAGCATACGCAATTGTCTTTTTTTAATATTTTAACACCAACTGATTTTAATTGTAAATAAAATATATTAAAAGATAAAAAATTAACTTTACTACTCATTTCAGAAAATTTCAGTAAAATTGTCAGTAAAAATATTTGTTATTGTTTTCAAAATTCAATTTTATTTGTTACGTTCAATATTAAATACTTATTCTTGTAAACATTGCGTGACATTTATTATCTAAACACGTACAGTATATCATATTTATAAAAATTATTTTTTTCAAAAATTTTTAAGTATTATATTGGGTTAGGTGAAAAATCTGTTTACAAGTTAGTAAAAAGACTTTTCCCCATCAATATCTTCGTTAAAAAAGATTAAAATTTAAATTTAAAAAAAGAGTTTTAAAGCTTGAAATTTCTACTTCCGAATGGTTATTATATTTTTTGAATTTACATTTGAAATTTTTATGTATAGAAAACTACGAGCTGAAAAAAATGAAAAACTTGTTTTCACTTTGTAAATCTGTGAAAAAAATTTGAACAAATTTTCAACTATCTGTTGTGAAAGCTTGAAGCTTTCCCTAAAATCGTTTTTTAAAATTATTCCTATGATTTTTTTTGTTCTTGAGTTACTCGCGGATTAAGTATAGAAAAAGGAACATTCTGACTTTATTGCTCGTAACTCCGTTAAAAATCATCATATCGCAATTAAAAATACAGATTCTTAAAGTTAAAACGTTGCTCTATCAAGTATAATTATCAATTTTTTTTAAATAGAATGGATTGCTAAAAAAGTCTTTTTACTAATCTGTAAAGGAACTTTTTCCCTAACCAAATATTTTGAACTAAAATAAAATAGATATATTTGAAAATAAGAAAAAACTGTTGTAAAATAAAATACAATATTGTTAAACCATCATTGAGTATTCGGTCAATTCAAAACTGGGTCAAGGTAACTATTTTCTCGTAATCTGCTTATTCTCTTGTGACTCTGCAGATTTCATTCATTTGATGAACATCAAAATTTGTCGATAAATATATGTGTTACGTATGAGTGTGTATGAATGGGTATGTACATATGTATGTACATGTTACACGTCTCTATGTAAGTACATCCTATGTGCCGCGTCATCAACCATCGCAAACTTACATCGTCATCAGAAGTGAAAGATGCTGGCATCGCCAAATCTTTCCTTTCTCTGCCTTCTATACGTAGTGAGAGTAAACGTGACGTCACCGACTTAAAGCTGCCGAACGGAAGGAATACTATCGATTGATTCGTACTTTACGAACAGAGATTAGAAGCCAGTGAAACCATAAGTTTGTTTTTCTATGATATTACTCTTAAACAACGTACAAAAACAAAACATTTTTATGTAATTAATTAGCAATAATATAATCATTGTGAATAGCATAAATATTTACATCCTACAGTAATAAAAGTTTATACATAATCAAGTATAAATATATATAATTATACTATCCGGGAAAAAATAGTCATACGTGATCAATGTGATCATGTATGAGTCTTGACCTGACATACACAGTCATACATGATTATACTTGATCATATATGACTACAAATCATATCTGTTGCTTGATCGTTACGATTGTACAGAAATCGCTACTTCATGAACTTTATTCATGAACAGTGAATGTTAATTGATGGATGTAAATATACTATATGTACTATATACATATACTATACGTATCATATTGTTGGAAAGATGAAACACGTATAATTAAAATATATTTCATTCATAAATGAATCTGAAATAATTCTATTTCGGCAAAGAAAACTTGCAAGAGTAGTTGCAAAAATAGTATATAACCGGGTGCTAAAAATCTATGTATGAATGTACGATTACGTACCAAGAGTATACAAAGAATTACTGTATAGAATCGTATATGATTATGGATAGTCGTAAAATACTTGCATACATTCATGTACTGTTCTATACAAATCCATAATAATGTACATGTACTATACGAATATATGCACACTCAATCATTCATGATCATATACTAGCATTCGAAATTGTACATTATGTAATGCATGATTTTATATGCCCATGTATAATTATGTGCATGCATGGATCATTTTTTTCTCGGGTAGGTGTTTAGAATAAAGCGTTACAAATTTTTATCTCGGAAACAAAACATTTCAGAGAAAAATGTTTTATACGAAAGTTTTGTGAGGACTTCGAGGAGGACATGAGATGGTGCCATTGGTTTGATTTTGGGTAACGTCAAAGCAAGATTATATAGAATGTTTTAAATAAGACCCATTTTTTATCTATATGTTTTCTTTGTTTCATATAATCTTTGTACACTCACATATAATAGTTACGGGAAAAGACCGCATAGTGGACAGTATTAAATTTTAGCACAAATTTTTAATATTTTCATGGATGCAAAATGATAGTATAAATTTTTTAAGTATTTTATATTTGATATTTTAGAAGAAACTCGAAACGCGCGCATTTCAGCCAGCTTTAATTGCAGTATTACAGAAATAAAAGTATTTCTAACGGTTATTTTAAATTTTAAATTATTTATGTATTTTGTCATTATATAAAGCACGAAGTATTATATTCTTTTTATAATATTATTCTTCGGCTTCGTTGGAATAAACAGTTCGGAAGATTGGTCAACATTGGAAATCGTATTTACAATTACAATACATATGTATTTAAAATGAAACTATTTCAAATATTACCCTGATTATTATACATATTATATGTATATAATTATATGTACATATAATTGTACATTGAAAATTGATCGAAGCTATAATTAATCCAGTTTTATTGCTAAGCACATTTCAGAATACATATGATGATATGATTATAACTAAAAGAATACTTACTTGAAAAAAATTCATTGTTTTTTCAAACCGTCACCAATGTTCCAAGCCAAATCCATATCTAAGCTTTAGTTCGATCTCTATTGAAAATCTCTAGCACGTCAGGTTCACCTGAAACGTTGTTTCAAAAATGGACAAAAACGTGTCTTTTTTACACATTCCCAGCAAACCAAACCATGTAACATTGACGTATGTGTCATAGTACACAAATGTCGTGAATGTTACCTGCAACATTATCAGTATCATGAATGTTACATTCTGATATGGCTCTATGTCTGCAGCAACTTTGGAGAGTATCAGACATTTTTCACTAATATATTACTATAACATAGACATAGCACAAAAATATGCAAAGACGTATCAAGTCTGTCCCAAAAAATCCGACATTTGCGTATATCTTTGTCTTTGGGCATTCTCTCTATGGAAAATAGGCATTCAGTTAGGGAGGATCTTGAAGAATACCTTCACTAAGCGGCACGATCTAATAGCTGTTCAGTCCTTGAACGTATCATTTATTTCAGTAATGTATTATTACAACATGAAATATGTCACATATATAAATGTTAAATAGTTTTCTATATCTTGTGTGATCTCGATCTAAGATCACATATGATCACTATTATAGCTTTTTCAGATTCAAAAACTCAGAAAGAATTTCAAAAGGGCTTGGGAATTTCCAGGGGATCAGTCAATTAGATTTGCATACGCCTTCCTATAAAACTTCTAAGCGATTTTTTTCTTATGAGAAGTACGTCCATCTCGTGACGGAGTCATGTACTTACCTCTTATGTATAAATATATAATTTTTTTAAATATTATATTTGTTATACTTATATTATATATTTCCACGTACGTGTTTATGTAATGTTACGATGTTATGATAGAAAAGTATAACTAGATTTTTGATGATTAAAAAAAGTTCGGTTTTATCGATTAATGCTATTGGACAATTACTTATCTCCCTCTGTTTTTAATAATAAATCTCATTGAACTTATACATAGTTGTTTGCTTTATAATTAATATTTACTTTATCGGTCAACATACTTACGTCATGATATTAGACATTGCACTTGCTCTGCAAGTAAGTAAAAATTTAAATCATGACGCGCGTAGAATATAAATGATAAAAATTAAAAGCAAAAAACTAATTTGTAATAATTTGTATATAATTATATGTAGTTATATATAATTATAAATAATTATATTAGGTGTTGGAATTAATTCGTAGCGTTTTACAAGTGATGGGAAGTACTTTCATTAATGTATTTTTTAATGCTCATGTGAAATAAATAACATTCTTTCATTAAAAAACGCTACGAATTAATTCCAACCCCTAATATATATTTGCACCTAATTATATTTATGAGCCATTTTTCGAGAATCTAGAAAAAATTGCACACTACGTATATGATTACATAAGATTTCGTATATGATCATATATTTCATATATTCATTATTTCCCATGTAGGGATGGGAACTGTTATTTTTGTCGTTACTTCCTGTAATAACAATTTGACAATGATGTTACAATGTTTTATGACGATAATTAACTAAAAGCTAATATTAAAAAAATTATTTTTTAATACTCGTCACCATTACTCGTTGTTTATTGAAAAAAGTTACTTGTAAGTAAGAGTTGAAGTATAACGAGTAAAAATAACGAATCAATGCGTTACAAATTCGAAAGTTTCCCAGCCTTTCATTATCATACCGTCATAAAAAGTTGCAATGTCAAATCGTTATTATAAAAGATAATAATAAAAGTAGTGGCATTTTCAGTTCGACAACAGTTGTAGTCATATGATTACAACTAAATTTATATTACTACTTATGTATATTAGTATTTAAATTAGTTCAATTTAATTTATTATACATTTTTTATATTTACAAAGAATATGTAAATATATTTATATGTAGAAACATTATCCGATATTTTTATCATCTTGTTTAATTGCTATACAGATAAAAATATAATATTATTGTAGAAAGAAAACAACAAAAAGAAGAAAAAGGAGAGAAACGTAAATTGTTTGAGATTTTCAGTTTCGTATTTTATAACTCATATTTGTTTTGTCAAATAATCTGTCGATCTATAGAACAAAGTGATAGGCAAGATAGTCAATGTAGTGAGCTGTATCGAAAGTATCGAAACAGGTGGGTTGACGAGGGGAAGAACTGAGGAACCTCGAGAACAAACCGGAAGTAAGATGAGCTTTATTGTCAAGTCACGCTGACATCGTGGCTTATCTCTATCTTCTACAATAATCCTTCTGCTTCAGAAGTTCCCTCCTTTACCCCTGTATATGACCACTCCATATTCACGTGGTTGCAAATATATGTTTATAAATGGAGAGATGAGAGAAATCTTTTACAAAAACAAATACAATCCTAAACTGAAAAGTTGAAGTATATTTTTATACATATTAAATTGCAGAACTAGGAACGTTACCTTAAAAAACTAACGTGTTATAACCGTTATAGTTACAAATAGTTGGATTTGTCCGGAAACTCTGATAAGAAACAAATCGTATGAAACATTTGTAACAAAACCCATTACGTCAAATGTCAGTCAAATAAACACGAATTCAATTATCAACTTTCAAAATCTTTTTTCTTGAAAATGAAACCTTGTCCGAAACAAAATTTATTCTATCATTTTGATTTAGTTAAATTATATAATTACTCCTTTTTAATACTATGTATTTCTGCTTGCACTGTATGATAGAAGAAATAAAATTTTTGAAAACACTTTCATTTTTTAAGTTAATTTATCCGTTTGAAATTACATAATACGTAAAATCGAAAATAAAGTATTTTAGAAAAACTTTATAATTAGATTACTTTATATCTGGATTTAATTAAGCAAAAGCTATTATAACAAGAGCTGTTAAACGAATCTGGTGAAACGGACAGTCAATCTGTCAACTTGACATGCGACGTCTGTTCGGAGATTCTGTGAGGGTCGAAAACGAGCCATTGTCAAACGACCCTTGTGGACAAGTCTATTAAATTCTCATTAGAACTTTATCCTCTTCCATGCCTGACAATCATTGAACGTAGCTTTCGCATGACAAAATCTGTTTCGATATCACTAGTGTCACGTACATAAAAAGTAATTCTTCCAATTATTTTCTTATCTTCATATCTGTCCTTTGCTCATCATATAGAAAGATTATATACCATATAATTAGAAATATGTCTATCTGATATCTTTAAAATACTATTTATTTTCATAACATTAGTAGAAATTTTAATTCCAATATTTGAATCACAGAGAGTTTAATTGTTATTTATCTGCAATTTAATAATATTTATACACACTAGCTATCCTTGAATTCATCCAAGATTTAACTTCTAATGTCTTGAATATTCACTATTTGTAAGCAATATTTCTAACAATAATTTCAAAGAATGGTAGAGTGATTCTAAATTTAAAAAATAATTCTTTATATCGCTCTCTGTCTATGCTATCTGTTGGGAAGTTGAACTTATAAATATTAAGAGAATGCTGGAGTGACGCTAATTATCTACCACAAATTACAAAATGCAACTAGAACTGCTCTTCGGATTAGTTTTACCAATTAGTGGCAAAATTTTTTTTACAGAATTAAATCATGCACGAGCAGAAAGCCCGGATATTGATTTCATATAGAAATCAAAGAAATTTCAATAGTATAAGGGAGCCAATCTCCGATGATCTTAATCTTAACATATATTGTCCAGGCTATAATCCTGAGTAACCTCCGATAGGTTTTAGCCATCGCTCATTATTCGTTAGAAAGTTATTAATAAAATAAATTTATGAAATAACGTCATATTTTTGCGGCATATAATATCAATCCTCCATCGTAAACGAAGATCATTTGTGTCCGTATGCGTTAAAAGCTTTTGTTCTGAGTTATAGTCTCAAAATGAAATTTCCATTCTTCCTTTTTGCAAAAATTGTGCAAAGTTAGCCTGTACATTGACCATCGTCTGGCGCCTTAAAAAATTTAATTCCTTCTTCAAAATTTTATCAAGATAAAGGCCATTACACATACAAAATTTTTAGTCGTAATTTAGTCGTAAGGTCTCAAGTAAATTGACTAATCACAATCAAAATTGCAATCTCACATTTCAATACACTCAACTGTGATTGGCCAATTTGCTTAGAGCCTTATGATTACGACTAAAATTTTTGTATGTGTAATGGCCTTAAGATATAATATATTGTAACACAAATTATTCAAAAACAACCCCGCTGAAGTCAATTTCTTTATTCTTCATTTAAAAATCGTTTTTGAAATATCAATGTGAACAGATTGATTAAATAGAAATGATAATAAAAAATGATTAAAAAAATGTAACTAAATACATTTTCTTGTTAATGTACATATGTATAGATTGACAATCCAGAAGAAATATATGATAGCTCCAGAATCCTCTGTATGAATTTGTAAAGGACGATTTTGGCAATCCCTGCTTTTGTTCTTTCTCTTGCTTCCTATCAAGCTGCGGGTTTCGAGACTAGGAAAGAGGTGAACGTATTGTTTACCGACGTTCCATCCCGATGGTTTCATCGCCGAACAGCGGTGTCAGCAGAAATGGCGTTGCAAATAAAGTGAGGGAAGCGGGAAAGATAGGTTCGTTCATAAAATCGCGTACTGCTTGCTCATGTTTCCAAGTAGCAAAGCTAGTTGACGTTTGCGCAGTTCAAAGATTTATTCGCTGTTATGATAGCAATTTCGATTTATTTAATGTATGATTTTGTATGCTCATATACATGCATGGATCATTTTTTCTGTGATAATATAATTATAATTTTATTTTATATAGTATTAATTTCGTATACATATATACATATGTATTGAAATTTATATGCATATGTTTCCATGAGAGAGATACATCTATTCTTTATCGGATCAACACATGTTTTCTGGGGGAGATAGCTATCTTTTCTATCGAATTATCCCATGTGTTATAAAATAACCATGATGTATAGTTTAATAAATAGAACTATTACGTTAAAGAATAAAAAGCGACAAATAAATTGGATAGTAGAGTGGAGGGTAATGATAATGTGAATGTAGACAGAACTTGTACGGCACAAAGTTACACAAAAGTTGCAACAACATTGCTGCAACATTGCAGATTTGTAGCAATATCGTTGCAAAATCTCTGCAATATTGCTACAAATTCTGTACTGTATGAGAAGGATTATAACCATATATTGAGAATGTGTCAGAAACAGTAACAGAAGCGATGAATAAAATTGAGTACATGATTGGTTTTAGATAATAAGAATCTTATTGGATCGTACATTTGAGAAAACTCAACAAATAGGAAATAGGAAATACTGGTTATGATGATCAAAGATAAATCTTTCAATGCTTAAATAATTTAATAGGAATTATTATATACTATATATGTACATGCATATATATCATATTTGTAGTCATTTGAACGAAAAAAAAAATTTATGATACCAATATTAAATTGCTTGTCACTTTAATTTATAAAATTACTACTTCAGTTTCGGTTTAAGACTGTGTTTCAAAACCGATAAATAATCGGCGCACAATTAGCTTGAACTAGAAATTATATAAATTTACAAGAAATATTATTAGGCACGAAGAATTGCCTTAATCGAATATAGTGTGTTTTTCACTAATGTATACTCCCATTAATTCATTTTCACTTAATATTGGATACATAATGCTTTGGTATCACCTCGATAATTATACAGTAACGTTGTCAAGTGTCCTTTTTGTATATACACTTGAATATTTAGTCATTTGATATATTTAGCTATCGTAAATGTACAGAGCATATTTATACGTAAATATATAGAGTGATTCCGGAAAATTTGTAACAAATTGAAAGAAGTGCTAGATCTGCGTTAATAATGTTCGATGGAACATAGCTTTAATTAGGTATCGTCGAGCCTAGATTATTTAACAAAAGCTGTTCAATTTAAGGAGATCTATCATCCCTTTAAATTTGTCACAATTATTCGAAATCATTGTATATAATACGTATAATGTACTCAATTAAATGAGATATTTCTGTCTTCCTAAATTTTGAGCAAGTGTTACATTGTGCATTGTAACGTACAGTCTATTATAATATTGCCGCTTTATAATTACTCACCAATAGAAGAATCCATCGACGCAACAAATGAGCTGTTCAAGTCCAACAAGCGCCTCCTCGGCGCTGTCGATGTCACAGATAGACTTCGGGACTCGCTGGTGCTGGTTGGTGTTGCTGTTGTTGTTGTGGATGTGGTTGCTGACTTTGAGTTTGATGTTGCTGCTGCTGTTGCTGTTGCTGCGTCATCTGCTGTTGATGATGATTATGATTGTGATTGTGATGATGACTCTGTCGCGTTCTCAACATATCGTATCTTTGCTTGTAAAGGTCGCGTTCCTGTTGAATCCGTGTTAGCTCGATCTTCGCACGTTGAAGTTCATTCTGCAAGTTCCGATTAGTGCTCTCAAGATCCTGCCGTTGCTGTAGCCGTTTGCTACGACAGTTCTGAGCGTAACCACGATTCTTTAACGTTCGTCGCTTTTGCTTCAGCCGCACCACCTTCACACACAATTGTAGATTTAATCATATATTTGAGCCTTTTCAACAACTTTATATTCTTAACATTCTTAATTTATGTTTTCTTAATCTTTTTTTCCTTAGCAGCATTTGTCACAAAATTATGTATAAAATAAAAAATCGAAACGATGTACGATTCAATGTATAGATATATTGTATAGATATTGTATAGGTATATAATAGATTATATACGTATGCATACGTATACATTATATTGTATATATAATAATAGCACACAATGAGTTTGCATTTTACGTAGGTGCTATTGTATAATCATAAAAATAATAACTAAGAATAAGAAAGTTATTTGACTTCAATATATTTGGAACAAAAAAAGTCTGATTATTATAATTAGTATATTAACTTATCAAAATTTTACAATAAGAATGAAAACCGATATAATTTTATTGTGCTTAAAATAGATAGACAGATAATTATCCTCATGCATATTGATTTCATATTAAAAAAATAAAGCGTAAAAAATTAAATTATACCAGTTTTAGTTATTGTAAAAGACTGTTAAGGTTTATTCATTCAGGTCGATATTCATTAGTTTAAATTCTTGATTTGAAACATCGGTCCCGAGATTTCCAAAATAATTTTGCTACACAAATAGAAAACAAAAGAATCATTCACCTGTTCTCGTGGACAACCATGGAGACGTTTGTTGAGTTCGCGTACAGAAAGTGACATCAAAAGTTCATCATCCATGAGTTCCTCTTGAGGATTCGTACCGTTACAATTAGAGTACAGGCCGTTACCAGAACGATGAGCTGGAGTGGGCCCACCGGCGCCGCAAGAACTCACGGAGCATACGCTCAACGGTCTGCCCGGTTGTATTGCTAAACCTTGTATGCTATCCTCCATCCCCTGCATCACACTCCCGCCCGCGGGAAGCATTCCTCCTCCTGTACCTGGACCACTGTAATACTCTAGATGACTTGACATTGCCAGGTATCCACCTGCGACAACAATATCCATGTGGCAAATTCAAAACACGTTAGAAAAAGTAACACATTGGAAAATGACGAAATATTGAGAAATAAGAAAAGTGAATATAGTTTTCACAATTTCGGTATCCAATTTTTTATATATAAAAAAAATAATTATTATAGATAATTATATCATATTAATACAATAGAAAAATTTTCCTTTACATTTCATGCTAGGAATGATCCTGTATATATATTACACACACACACACACACATATATATATATATATAAGGACACTAATCATATAGCGTTATTCCTGATTAAAATTGAGTCAAAAAGTCCTCTACAATTTTGCAATTTTCGCAATGGTTGACGAAATATTAATTTCTAAATATTACCGAATAAACACATATTCAGCTACCCAACTATTAACTGTCGCGAAAATTGCAAAATTGCAAATGGTAGAGAACTTTTTGATTCAATTTTTCATCAGGAATAGCATTATGTGATTTGGCAATCGCTTACTCAGTAATCTTTAGAAATTAATATTTCGTCAACCATTATGATAACTGTTGGGTGAAGCTTCTTCAAATATTATTACTTTGGTGGTTGATTTCTATTCCTTAATTAATAGTTTGCGTATGTCCTACATATGTTGAATCGCAATTTAAACTCTTTAAAATCTATCCCTAACTACGTTAGAACGTGACTATAGGTAGATAAGGGATCTTAAAGTTTACATTAATAAATATTGAATTTATTGATATGAGAAAAAAATTAATTTAAATATAAGAACTTTGTTTTTTAAATTGAATAAGTTTATTAGCAATTTTAAAACTAAATAGAATTGTAAAATAATTAACCTTATATGTCTCACAAAATCATAAGATTGACTATTTTTATTGAACTAAACAAATTTAGGAAACAATTTTCTTTTTATAATAAAAAAATAAAATGAAATAGACAATTATCAAGAATATATTGCAAATATTTTATCCACGACAAACAATTCAGAAGGAAAGTATTTTTAGGGATATATGTAATTATACATCTTTTTTCTACCCCTAAAATAAATAGATTACGTTTCCAAAGGTTGACTATTTACTTTGAAATTATCAAATTACCACTATATTGAATTAATCTTAATAAAGGATGTGTATTTTCATCGAAATCGACAAATAGTTTATATCGCGAATTGCTTTATTTTTTATGTGAATGTTTGTTCGCCAAAGCTTATAAATTGTTAATAAACAGTTTGCAACAAGTTGTTATTTTTTGTTTGATTGCTATTTGTAAACAGTTTGTTAAACATTTTTTCTAGAAGCGATAAGATAAAAAAGCGACAAACAAAATAAACATTGATGTAAACAACATATTTAATTTTCGCAGATATTCAACAGTTGATTACGAACTTTTCGTATGCAATGTTTGCAAATAATATTTAGCGGATAAATAAATTTTTTTCCTTTTCGAAAAATGAATTTATTGATCGTTATTATACTTACTAGCGTGCCTAGTATGTCGCGGAAGATGTTGCAACTCCTGGAAATGATGATGCGCTGGTGTTGCTGACCAAGACTCATGATGAGTCTCCGGAGTTTGCTCTTGAGGACAGTGGGGTCTCAGGTCCAGCGGTTCTTGTCTCAATGACTGCGTCAGCCAACCCATACCACCTGTACCCACTTGCATCTCTTCCTGTACCAATGCTGCTGGTTGCTGCAGCTGCAGCAATATACCACCACGGTCGCGAAGATCACGAGCATCACGGGAATCTCGATCGCTGCGGTGAAGTTGCAATGGCGGTGGAGATGTCGATACAGGCGGCGTGTCCGGCGGCGTGCCCGGATGTGACAGCGTGGTGAGATGCGCCGCGGCACCAGGCGGTGCCTTTACCAAGACGCCATGTTGCACTTGAATATGGGGCTGACCATACAGTGGATGCGGTTGTTCTAACTCGTGCGCGGGCGGCGTTAATGGTGCCAGAGTCAATCCTTGCGATTGCACTTGTCCCGGAAGCTGTACAACGCTACCATTTACCATTACTGTCGGTGAACCCATTCGTACCTGCGAAATGTTAATTTTTACCGATATCAACAATGATTATAATCGAGGACACAATAGTCGATTAATAAGCAAAAAATTTAAGTTCCTCATTTTATCTGTATTAGTACTCTCTCAAGTGTTAAGGTTGATCCATGGGACCATACGAAAAAAAAAAACAAATCGCTATATCTGTCTCATTTTCAATATTTTCATAAAGGCTGATTTATATAACTTTAATTAATAAAACATAGATTCATAAAACTCCTGTGTTTTTGTTCCAGTTTTTTTAAATCAAAGTCCTAGGGACCAACCTCAGTGAAAGTCACAGTATCTACTATTTTATTTCAGTACTTAAAGATTATAATAAATAATAAAAAATATATTCATTTCTTTTATGATATTAAAAGATCTGTAAATAATGTGGTAGCTAATGAACTTATTTCTTTTTAACTCTTTGTATCATGAATTTTTGTACGAGATCAATTATTTTTTGAAACTTGAATCAGAGAATTTTTTAAATATCACTGATTATAAATCAAAAGTTTAAAATTTTAATGGCTGATTCAATATGGTGAACAAATAATTCAAATAATTTTTAGTAAAATGTTTAGTATTTTATTATATATAAAAATAAATTATTTAATAAGAATAGGTTTTAGCAATAACCTCAAATGTAGCGACCAAAATACTAAAAAAACTAAGTTTTAAAATAATAAGATTATTTTTTTCATTTTCCGTAGCAATCCGTATGGTTCCGTCATTTTGGATTTTAAAATTTGGAAATTTTGATCTCACATTAGTGTAGTTCAGTAATTCAAATAATCTAGAACATCATTATAAAAGATATTCAAACTATTTTGTTTACATTCGATCTTTCCATATTTATCAATTTAATAAAAAAAGACAACGTATCAAATAAATCTGAAAAAATTTTAAAAGATATTCTATAGGATATCCTAAATAAATACTTAAATTGCCATTTTGATATTAATAATAGTTTATTAAAAAATGTATTTTTTAAGTATAAATTTTTACTACTTTAGTTATAGTAATTACGTAAATAAGAATTTAGAGTTGCCTACTTTTTTAAATACTTTTTCATCTTCTAGATTTCTAACGAAAAAGTACGATTAATAATTTAATGTCATCAAAATAATTAAAAACTGAGCGGAAAAAGATGCAACTCTGAGAGTTCCATTATGACACAAAAGATTAAGCGCAAAAAATTGCCTATCATATTGCTTCTTTCGCAAATTTTCGTGTCTTGTTTGCAGTTCTTAGTTTTCTATAATCGCGACTGCTAATATTACAATTCTCTAGAATCATTTGTAATCGAAAGTATTTTTTTGAACGATTTTCAATATTATCTACTTAAATAAAAATATTACAATTCAGACTTTGCGCTGCAATTCATATTTTCGTGTCTTTGTTCATAGGACACATAGAGGAATTAAGATATTTTTATTATGTAATAAAAATCTCAGCTAAAACATAAAGATTATAGATATCTATTACGAATTCGATTGATCTAGATGTTATCAGGATATCGTAATTGATGTAAATAAAGAGATAATCTTAAGATATCGTATCGAATAGAAATCTGTCAGCCGTTACGAGCGAAGGACGATTATATCCCTCTTGTGAAAAGAAATAACATTGGTCATCTCTTTTATTTTGCCAAAACAAGTGAAAATTAGTCTTATTGTTTTCAATATCACTTAGATATTACAGATAGGGCCGTCTGAACATTTCATTTATGATAAGAATATTTCTGAATTATTTTCTTTTTTTCCTGATCTGTTACAGGAATTGACAATACAAATAAATAATAGCCAAATAAAAAGCGATCAATATTTAAAACTTTGTTTTATTTAATATTGTAAAGCGAAAGTTAAAATAATTAAAAAATCTAAACGTTACGATAGCATTTTACATTTTTGTCGCTTAATAAAATATGTATTTACAATTATTTCAAATAAATCACAATTTTATACACTGCTCAACAAAAAAATAAGGAACATTCTTAAATTGCTCAAAATTTTCATACAAATGTATCATACAATTTTCAAATAACTGAATCTCGATAAAAAATCATAACAGACAAAAAATAAAGAAGCATTTAAAAGCTTGAAACCTGTTAATTTTAACATGCTTTTGTTTCCCAAAAATGCCGTTTTTTTCACAAAATTTTTATCTTTATGCAATTCTGTATTTTGAAGGTTGAAATTTGATATTATTAAATTGTTGATTTTTTTCTTATACAAATGTTCTAGAAATAAGTATATATAATATTCAATGCTATAATATCTTATACATTGTTGCAAAATTATAATTTTTTTCCCTATAGGCTTTTTTTTTTAGAAAACACTTTCCCGGGTATGCGACTCGAAGAAATTGCCTTTTCGAATATCCGATCGGATACTGGATATCCGATGTTACATTCTGTTCGAATATCTGATATCTGATATCCAGTAATTTTGCGATCCGGTGCATCCTTATTAAATACTACAAAATGCTTTTTAAATCATTTTCTTATGATTTTTTTGACCTGGTCGTTTTTAATTCTTATCGCGCAAACGGGAGTAAAATTATATATAAATCTTTCATTTAGAATAGTTACGAAAATATTACATTAATTTTTTAATATTTTTTGAATCATTTAATTCATTAAAAAAAACACACTGTTCGTTAACAACCTCCGTCTACATTATTAAGTAAGAACGTTTGCACGATAAGGATTAAATTTCTACAGAATTGAACTGAAAAAAATTTTTTAATAATTAATTTTTCGATAGTTTTTCGTTAAATTTTAACATTCGTTGTAAGCTGTACAAGTTTAACTTCAATGTCGCATAATTTGATCAAATTCTACTTTTTTGTAAAAGTATTAAATTAAAAGAATTTTTTTTCAAGCTACATACTGTTTAATGTATGTAATTTTGAGAAACATAGCAATGTGATTTTTATTAAGATATAAAATTGTAAAAATATTTTGATATAAACGGTCAATGACAGGTTGAAATATAAGATTTTAAATGCTTTTATTTTATTTTTTTTGCAATTTTTGATTTTTCACCGAATTTCGATGATCTGAAAATTGTGCAATTTAGTGTTTTGAAAGTATTCTTTATTTATTATTTAATACCATAAAATGGTAATTTCAAATATTCAATTCAGTATCATTAAAATATTTTAATTAAAAGTTTTGATTAAACTGTTATTCATTTTTCTAGTAAAGGTCATTGCATTATTATATATAAAAAAGTTAATGTGTAAATGCGAATTTTTATTTTAATCGATCGTATACTTGATTACTTAATCATTATAGCTTGTAATTATTCTCTATTTCCATTAAATAATGAAATGGACGTTAACGAGGCGGTATTAAATAAATGTTATGTTTTAAAAAAAAATTAGACACGTTATTATGCTATGTCGAGTGTAAGCACTTTTTCAGGAGAGCAATCATGTATCAACGTCAACTTGCAAAATCATTATTTATTTTATTTACATATAATAGATAACGAAACACGTTTCGCTCATATATGTAAACTATGTTTATACTACACATTGCATACTACACTCGTGATGATAATATAATAACTATATTTATACATATAACGTATATTACATTTTATCTTGTTTTCTTTTTTAGGACGATATAATCCAGTAACGAGATAATTATGCGGAGATTCTAGCGAAATCATCTTTCACTTGTGATTATTTGAAAATATTTTCTGGTCTCTTCTGAGTGAGAATGAAAATTCTAAAAAGATTATCCCAAATGTTTTCAATCCTCAATGCAAGGTATCATTATAATTAAAAATCAAATAGCAGAATTTATTAAAACAACTCGTCCGAGCTTTAATAGCAATTAACTTGCACTAACAATTGTCACATCTTATTTATTGCAAATATGCATAAAAATTATTATTATTCTGTATCTTTAATAATATCTAAAATCTGACATACTGATTTTTAGATATTATTTTGTATTTAGATATTATTGAAGTATTTTTGGTTTAATGACATCTTAATTCGTAGACACACTTGATGTACATTACTGATAACATTATTGTTATATATAGTAGCTATTTATTTGTGTAAAGTATGGTTTCAATTATAAGTGATATGAGAATAGAACATCAAGCTCGTAATGTGTATAAATTATGAATATGTCAGAACTCATAAGTCTCTTTAAAATATCTGTAATTTTTAAAAACTTTTATTTTTATATCTGATACATTGCATCCGCTATTTCAAATTCTAAGATTAAAAAATTCTAACGTCATACGTTTAAAATAAAAAATTTTACAATTCATATGAATTTTGCCACATAGACTGATTTATATTTAACATAAGAATGTTACAAATGGCTCTTAATGATCATTCCTCTTAAAAATAATATACTAATTAAATGTATAATATAATTAGTATAAATAATATTTTGTAATTAATATAAATATGACAATATAAGGAGTCATTTAGTATCAAAGATATCTAAAACTTGTCTAAAAAGTTTATATTGCAATTTTTTTCTCACTTTTTTCTTGTCTCTTACACGTTTTATTTTCCAATGATCATGACTTTTTTGAAGATTTCAAAAGAAGTAGAAGTGAATTTTCAAGAAAATTTTCTTTTTTTATAATTGATCTTCAAAACTTCTTCCTACTTGCTTCTGTTATTAATTCTAAAAGAGACGTAAACTGACTGAATTGTGTGTGACTTATTCAATATACATTAAATCTATATGCGAATATTTATTCGTAAAGAAATATATAATAGGATTAGATATACTTCTTTTTAAAACGAGTCGGTTTTACTTTTATGTTAGAAACATGCCAGTATATTCTATTCTTATGCGCTCACCTCTCGTTTAACATCAGCAGGATCCAAATGATCGAGGACGAACTCCTGCACGTACTCTCTTGCCAGATGATCCTCAGCTTCCATCTTTACCTCGTCGACTTCTACCTCCACCTCCTCTACCGTATTAGTTGCAGTTGCATACGTGATCGTCTCTTGTCCGTCGCCACTGCCACCGCCACCTCCGCCACCACCAACTCCGCCACCACTTGAGCAATTCGTCACTGTTGTTTGTTGCGTCGTGACCACCTTTTCTGATTAAACACTTTGCGATTTCTTTACTAAATATCCTGGCAAGGGAGAAACTAGACGAACGATGTACTGAAATGACAATCCGCTTCGCTGTAATAAGCCCAAGCTTCGATGAGAGTCTTCCCTCGATAAATTGAAGCGAATCACAAAAGGTTGGTTGTATTAAAGAGAAAATTGGATGCCAAGCGGATCTACCGGTCGCAATGTATTCTAAACTATCATCAATGCGTACCAGCCTCGTAATTCTGTCTTTGATCGTATCTCCGACTCAGCCCAATCCTGATCCTCTTTCTTATTTCAATTTTACTTGCAATTTGAACACAGATTTCTGATGTTACGAGGAGATTATTTTACGTATGATATGTACCGGCTGCGCACATTTTTCAACGATAATAATGAATAGATTTAACTCCCTCCTTAGAGAAAATGGATGTAATGGCGTCGTAATGATTCGCTTTCATAGGTCTAATGATAAATTAATCCCTACCGTAGTTCCACGATAAAACAAAGTTAACATAGATTACGGTAAATATAAACTCTGATTAAATTTCTCCACATGCATGTCAATTAATTAAAGAACACCCTTTCAAAATGGCAACAAACGAAGAGCCATTTGATTTTGCTTCAGAATATAACTCCTTTACAATCACTATTAAACACTGTGCTTCAATTTTCAGCAGTAGACTTCTCATAGAAGCCCCGTACACTATCGGCTCAATATATCACTGACATTTAAACACTTTTCCCGCTTAAAAACGTTCGAAAAAATCTGACGCTTTTTTTCTCACCACAGCCCTGTCTCTGCTGACACGAGATCGATTAACCGTGATTTCTATTTATTTCCCTTCTCATATCAATCAATAATGAGATGGAGAAGCGAAGAGAATTTCATAATTAGCGACACATAATCGCGTCGTAGATGGAGCGCCATCGACTCCACCCTCCAAAATCGCAAATCGAATAACGCTCCTTTCCCCGTCGATCCCGCACGCATAAACACTACCGCGTTTTTTTGGTTTTTTTTTTCCGAACTTTGCGCTAGTCGAATAAAATCAGTGAAAGCGCAATCAACAGATAAAAAGAAAGAAAGAAAGAAAGAAATGAGATGAGAAGAAGAGAGCAGCGCGCTCTAATAGAAGAAGGAAAAGAGATCGCGTAACTGACAGCAGTAGATACGCTGTCTGAGTGGTGACTGGTCGACTGTATGCTGAGAATAAGCGCGGATCACGCTCTCGCGCGCAGGACAACGCGTCACGCACGGTGGGCGTGATCTGACCTCTATTCGGCTTTCCGTCGCGCTCAGCGATTGGTGGGTCCTAGATCGTGTCGCCATTTGCACACTCCTCCCATGCGCCCCACCGCGCGTCGGCGGTAAATCTCCCCCTCATCGCCGCGCCACATCGTGCGGATCCAGTCACTTGAGAGGTATCCCCCATTAATTTCTAAAATAATTATTTTATATATACATATACATATTTGTGTGTTTTGTGTGTGTGTGTGTGTGTGTGTGTGTGTGTGAGTGTGTGTGCGCGCGCGCGTGTGTGTGTGTGTGTGTGCGTGTGTGCGTGTGCGTGTGTGTGTGTTCTGTCCTTGTATCTCTCTTGCTCCCCGCTTGCTTAACCCGTTAGATGTGCCACTGATACCGTCTGATACGAAGTCTCTCTTCTCTCCTTTCCTTGCTATACGCGCATATCGCAGTTTCTTCTTTTCTTAAATTTCCTTTTGAATTTCAATTTACAGTCAGTACGAGTGATCTTTTATCAACCGCAATCTCAATCTAAATGAGACACAATTTTCCTTGTGGACCGTATTCAAGGGCGGAGACGAGTTATAGAATGTCACATCTACGTCCATGTCAAAGAATAGGAGAACGAGAGAAGTGCGAAGAAGATAAAGGGGTGGATGTCGGATCGCTGATGGTGCCCGGTTAACAAGATATTGCTCCGCACGTCTATAGATCTCCGTGCATCCAGAAAAAAGAGCGTCTTTATTTCCAAGACATGAAAGACTATCATGACCTATCATGTGTAGTAAGGATGCCAAAAATGAAGGTGTGTATTAATAAGGGTTAATAATAAAAAATAGATGACAATTTAGAATATTTTTAAATATACAAAGGATAGAAAAAAATATACGAGTATAAACAGTTATCAACTGTATCAACTGTTTTAAACACTTGGCACAGATAACAAATTAAATTTTTCTGCACTTTTCTACAAAAAATTGATATTAATGATCATTATTAAAATTTTTAAATGATATATGTACTATAACAGAACAAACTTTCAAAAAATGCAGGGCGTAGATAATATTATCTTAAAATATAATAGGAATCATTACTTCAAATTTTACAACAAAATAATATACTTATATTTATAACATCAAATTTTAGAGGAAAGTGGGATGAAACATGAACGGACAACGAGGTAAAATGATTTATTTATCAAATTTTATTAGTAACTATTTCCATCTGCTGAATGAACATAAAATTAGTTTCCTCGTGAGTTATTTAAAAAGAAATTTAAATTTAAAAAAATAAAAATGCATTTTATATTAGGTGTTGGAATTAATTCGTAGCGTTTTACAAGTGATGGGAAGTACTTTCATTAATGTATTTTTTAATGCTCATGTGAAATAAATAACATTCTTTCATTAAAAAACGCTACGAATTAATTCCAACACCTAATAATATATTTTTCCTTTTTTTTTTAAACGAAAAGCTAAAACTTATGTGCAATAAAATAATTAATGTTAAATTAATTCCTCTTTATTCAAAAATATTTAATACATAATACACAGTTTTGATTTAAAATTAATCAGTTAAATGATTTCAATACATCGCTGTATCGGCTTATTATCTAGACTTGATTCATATTCTCATTGGGTGATCTATTTTACTCTACCTAAAGAGTAAAACAAAATTAAGTTTTAAAAATCTTAATAGTAGGTATGTAATATAAACTTTTGTAAGATATGAAAAAATTCAACATTTTGATCTTGTAGTAAACATTTCAAAGTTTCTTTACTAAACTTTATTTATTTCTTATCATTAATAAACAAAATATACCTATTTTAAGAGATCTTATCCCACCTTCCCCTATTAACTACTTAATTAAATTAATTTTTTTTTATTAAATAAATAGTTTAGTACCGATTATTTTGTAGATATCATATAAATGTGCGACCATAATTTAGGATAGCCGTAAAATGATATTCTTCAATCGACTTAAGCAAAAGCTTAAGCGCTACGAAAGAAAGAGAGAAAAAGGGAAAAAGAAAGAAGGTTTATGTGAAATGGGTGCAAATCATGGACTCGCATCTAAATAGGGTTCTACGTTTACCAATCTATTCCCTTGCATAACAGTCAGTACTATATTTCGTACCCATTTCTGGGACATCACGACTTTAAAATACTTCATGAATATAAAATTTTCTTCTTTTCCCACGAATCTTTTTATATCACAGCTATTTTTAACTTTCGAAATAACGTCATATAATGCGAAATTTGCGCAATCTAAAAAAAAAATATTCCGTTTAGTTTGAAAAAAATAATTAGCATGTGAGTATCTAAGCATCTAATATGCTTCTTTCTCATTCAAATAAAATAATGTGAAACTTAAAAAAAACATATCGAAAAATACAAAGAATATCCAAATATACAGAACATTCAAAAGTGAAAAAAATTTTAGAAGAAAATGAATCACATATATTCTATAAAAAAATTAAAAATTATATACAATTTTCGAATCATTTCTTTTTTTTTAAGTAACAACTCCTGCTTTTGTTTTACCAATAAACTTTCGAATACATACAATTAATGCGAGCAACATTCTACTTTAAACGTAAATGTAATAGGAACTTTTTCTTTAAATATTACCCAGTTAAATCTTATTTTTTGATCAAGTAATTTTTATTTTTAATTAAAATTAATTTTTCTCAAGGAAATGAGATTAATAAATCTTTGTAACATTCTCAAGTGGGATAAAAAAGCAAAGAACAAAAGAGTTAGAAAAATAAAAAATAAGTAGATCATTATACTTACAATAATTATATTTATTAATTACTATAAAACTGAAATATCAATTTTTATCAATATTTGGACTTAGAATAACGCTTTTTAAAATTTAATATTAAAATTTAACCTTAAATTAAACTTATTTAAAAATATTAAATAACTAATTATAATCAAGTAACTATCAACAGTTTAAATTTCATTATTAATGTGAAATAACAAATTTACATTCATTGTTATAAAATATCTAGAAATTAGTGCTTAACTTTGACAATTAATATCCATTGTTTTCCATTTGCTCATTATTGTGATAATAATTTTTAGGTAATAATTTTACTTATAAACACATAAAACAATACTATATAAATAAATAAATTTCAAAGCAACTTTATTTCATAAATCAAATAAGAAAGATATAATAAATAATATAGCATTTAATTAAAATTGTATATATGTTCCTTTTCTTAAATTTATGTAAAACAATAATCAAGAATTAATATATATTACTATTAATACGAAATTAATATTTTTTGCACATATTTAAATAAATATCCAACCAGATGAAGTATTATTGACAATCTAAATTGAACAAAATTTATACGATTCTTTTTTATTTAAGAATGAATAATCTTCGAAATGTGATTGAAATTGAAAATTTTTAATTTTTCGTATAAAAATTAATGTACATATGAAGCTGTTCGAAAGATTAATATTTATACATTCAGCAATAAAATTAAAGCATCATCTACATTCCGAAAATAAAGAATCATCACCTACTATTGTACTATCTTCCTTCCAAAAATAGGCTACTTACTTTTAGAGCAGGGCTAAAATTACTTGCACATTTCGGCCGATTTTCAGCTTGGTTCCTGCCCCTTACTTCATCAGCCCGTGCACAGCCTAAATGCCGATCGGCATATATCTATATATATTTATAAGTTTTAATGTTATTATAATAAACGCCGCCTAAAATAAAAGAATATAATTTCGTAATCTAACTTAACTTTCTGAAATTTGCATAGTTTTTGCAAATTTCTTCTTTATTTTTCTTTATTTATAATTAAAATATTATAATACCTTATAATCAAGAGATATTTTTGTTAAAAAATTTAATTTAAATTAACTAAAAAATGTGACATTAAAAAATATATAATAATATAATGCACAAAAAGTAGCACATGTATAATCCCGTAGATGTAAGTATAGATTTCTTAATGGCTAACTTTAAAAAAAAAAAGAAATAACGAGCTTGATCTCAGGCTTTAAGGTCTATCCTTACTTTAACCAAATGCGGCAAGATAACAGAATTTCGTCAGGACAAAGTCTTGTTGATCTAGACGACAAAATATCATCGGTTATCAATGGTCGTCGAGCAAGAACTTGAAATAGCAAGCGAGTGACGAGCGAGTAACTTTGGCCATTTTGTTGAGCGCAAGGAATTTGTCGACGTTGCAATTTGACAGCCTCTGTCCGCCGTTTCCTTCCCGTTCTTGCCTTGGCCATTCGTTCGCACTCAATATATTTGCACACCACTCGATTTCTCAGTATAACGAGTGTCGGGATTTTTCCCCTCACTGAGAGATGCACTAGTCGCGTAGAGCATGGTACTTGGCGATATCGCCATATATATTATCTAAAATTGAAAAAATTTAATTGATGCAAAAAGACTAAGTATAGTTAAATATGTAATTGTCATATTTTTATCAATATTCCAATACAACAATTTTTTGGACTCGAATCGATAATGTCGTTATATTTTTGAAAATAAATTATGTTTTATGTATTATTCTGCTTTTGAAGAAATTCAAAATATTCTCATATAAAAATAAATATTTAAAATGATAAAGTAAATAAAACATTTAACAATTTCTCAATTAAATTTTTCTAAGTTTATTTATAATGTATGAACTTTACAAATATAAATATATATATTTTATATTGTACATAATTTCTTTATAAGAAGAACCGGAAGAATAAAGCTCTTTTTATTTTAAAAATCATTATTATAAAAAGTTTCACATAATTTTAAAGCATATTTTACGACAAAGAAAATATAAATTATATTTTTACGCCGAAAAACAAATTGTACAGTGCACATTACTTTCGAAAATCTTTTCCTTTCAGGATATTATCTTTGAAAATGTATTCTTGTGAGACTAGAATGAGAACTTATTATTACTTTATTTTTTACAATTATTGAATTGGTTGGATAGACCACCCCCCGGTTATTCATTATTGGACCAACTGAAAATTGAATATTAAACATTTACACTACAAAATATTGGGTCAAATAATGAAAATTTACTGAAAATATGATGTTTATTAAAGTCATTCTTGAAAGAATTCTTATAGTTACAAATCTTAAAATTTATAAACTAAACAATACATATTTTGTATAAAATAATCGAAAAAAATTATAAAATAAAGTAAACATTAATTGCATCTATCACATAAAATTGTCTACGTAAGATAATAAAATATAATATAAACTAAAATATAAACTTTTATAAAGAAACATAAAATAGTTATATAATAAAACAAATAATTACAGAACTATGCTTTATCATTGAATTGACAAACATTTCTTATGACCATAATTGCCACACCCATTTGTTTCACTCAACGTGAAATGGATTAATCATTGATCCCCCCCCCATTCATGGAAATGTATCAATTATCACATAATACCGTGCTTAAATGTAAATATTTTCTGAAAGTAAAGTATCTCATTTTAAAGCGTACATTTTCAACTTTAATGGATTTGAAGTTAATAAAGTATATTTCCATTAAATAGTTTTAGTAATCTTTGCAAAATCCAGGAAAATAAGATTAAAATGCACAAAAATGTACTGCTGCAATACTGCTGCAATTTTTGTGCTGTAGGGATCAGGTGGGCGCAACGAAAACGTTGCAATTATTGCAATATTGCAACAGCATTGCATGTTGCAGCTATATTGCAGAGATTTTGCAGTAATATTACTGCAAATTCTGTACTATATGGGGAGTGTAATTAACATGGCGACTGTTTCTTTACTAGTTTATAATTTCTCCACCACAAATGACACGATATCCACGTATAATAACAAAAATATTTAATTGGTCCATCCGCTGCACTGGTTCATTAATGACATACTTATCCTACGTTAAGGTTAATTTTTTTGTAGATGAAGAGGTGCTATAGCGAAGTACATAATTGATCGAGCCACATTATACACAATTAGAGCATTTGGGAAAAAACTTGTTATAAATAATGTTATAAATAATAATAAAAGCTTGTTATAAATAATTTTTAAAGACGGTTTATTAATTAACTATGTTATGGATCAACAAATTATTAAGTTCGATAGTTTCGAGATAAAACTTGCTTAATCTATTTAAATCCACGATTACATGGAGGCGATTACGTGATAGCGATTGGAAACAGTGTAAATATAACGCTTGTGCATCAAAACGTTAAGAAGTTGG